CATGGGCCCGCACCCCAACGCCATCAAGTCGTGCGCGCAGCCCGCCTCGGCCGCCGCCGCCGCCTTCGCGGACAAGTACATGGATACCGCCGGCCCAGCGGCCGAGGAGTTCAGCTCCCGCGCCAAGGAGTTCGCCTTCTACCACCAGGGCTACGCAGCCGGGCCTTACCACCATCATCAGCCCGTGCCTGGCTACCTGGATATGCCGGTGGTGCCGGGCCTCGGGGGCCCCGGCGAGTCGCGCCACGAGCCCCTGGGTCTTCCCATGGAAAGCTACCAGCCCTGGGCGCTGCCCAACGGCTGGAACGGCCAAATGTACTGCCCCAAAGAGCAGGCGCAGCCTCCCCACCTCTGGAAGTCCACTCTGCCGGGTAAATGGCGCCCTGTTCCCAGCCCCGGTCTTCCGGCTCGGCTCCACTTCTCCTCCGCTCGCACCGGGGCTCACCCAGGTGCCCCCCTGCTCTCTTCCTGGTGTGCCCTAGCATGGCTGCACCCTTGGGAGCCTGGCCCCGGCTGGCTGGGGCTGCCTGCACTGCCTTGAGTCGAGCTGGCCCCTGGCCCTCCCTGGGTGAGGGGTGGCTGGGTGGGAGCTTGTAGGGATCCCCGGCTAGCTTCCATCTCCGTCTGTGCCCCGCCCTCTCTTAGCCCTTGATGCCAACTTAAGGATGAGAAATTGACCTGAAAACAGTTCCCCAAATTGCCCCTCCCTGCTGGTGCTCTCAAAAATGGCTTCAGTGTAGAAACGTCGAGTGCTGGGACCGGGGCACATGGAAAGAAGTGTTGTACCTTGAACCTGGCACTAAGGTGTGGGCCTCTGGGCCAGACTCTCTCTCCAAGCCCGCTCCTGCACGATGGCCCGGGTGGGTTAGTGGCTGGAGCCCTGGGCCATTTCATTTCCTTGCAGAACTAACCACCTTCCCCACTGACTCTCCAGGCTTTGGCAGAAGGCCGGATTATACAGCGCGTGGCAAAGAGCATTTGGGCGCTGCAAGGGGGGTGGCTCAGATAGAGCTATCGCCCGTGTCCTGGCTGGGGTCTGATTCCTGCGTAACTGGCCTTCTCCCTTATCTTTCAGACGTCGTCTCCCATCCCTCAGATGCCAGCTCCTACAGGAGAGGGAGAAAGAAGCGCGTGCCTTACACCAAGGTGCAATTAAAAGAACTCGAACGGGAATACGCCACGAACAAATTCATTACCAAGGACAAACGGAGGCGGATATCAGCCACCACGAACCTCTCCGAGCGGCAGGTCACAATCTGGTTCCAGAACAGGAGGGTTAAAGAGAAAAAAGTCATCAACAAGTTGAAGACCACTAGTTAATGGATTAAAAATGGAGCAAGAAGGCAACTTGAAGAAACGCTTCAGAACTCGTTGCTTTGCCCAGATATTGATAATGCCCAGATAATGTTTAATAACAAATGAAGAATGGGAAAGAGAAAGAGGGGGACACTGGCATTTTGCTCTCCTAAGGGAGATTTTCTCTGTAGTGGAATCTACAACTGGTTTATAACTTTGAGAAACGGTAAAGACTGCCAGTCCTCCCGCCAGCCTCACCAGCCCGGTAAATGACAATCTCTAGAGTCAAACATCAACCCCCAAATACTCAATTTCAGATAAGTTACGCAGTTACTGAAATCTTGTAAGTATTTATGTGACCGTTATATTTTAGGACACTGTGTTAGATGGTAATAATCTGAAAATTGGTTACAAAAGCAAGAAGCTGTTGTAAACATCTGCTTGTCCTTCTTAGGTCGCCATTCCCTTTGCATGTGCCTGCTCAGGTAAATCGTAGTGAAATTCCTACCATTGTGTGTTCTGCGGAACATTTTATGTATAGATTTAGAGGGGAAGAGAGAAGGTACTGAGATAATGGTCTTGGACTATTCGCTATGAAGGGAGAAAGGGAGAGAAAGCTTTTCCAAGGCTCATTTATCTGGATAGTCAAAACAACCAGCTGCACCTCTAAGGCTGCAGGGGAGCCTGGGGTCTGTAATATCCTTCTGAAAATAATTTTTAATTGCTAATAACAAGCATATCGTGTGGTATTTGGACTATGTTTACATCCCAATATCAGTTGTTTTTCCAAAGGATTTGATATCTTTTAAAACAATCTTTAAATCATCGGATGATCCCCAGAATTTGCTTTATGTCAGATCTCCGGGGAGGTTCCATCCAAACGTGATGGACTTTGGTTGGAACACAATTTATTTTTACATTTAAATTGGCATTTCTCTATATTTACAAAACAATTTGCTGGAGAAATAATTTTCTTCCTTTATTTTTTAGCAAACTCAGAGCGAAAATTCATTCCCTCAAATCATTTAGATGTCTACATTCTATATTTTGATCTATTAAGGGATTTGTATTTTTCCTTGTTTATTGTGTTATCAGATTGCATTAGAAAGATTAGAGATTCATCTTCACAGCACATTTTTAATCAAGCAGTTATTTCAACCAGCACATTCGTTTTGTTCATATTCACTATAAAATGATATCTTGTAAATAAAGACATTCAGCACACTGTGAAAATGTATTTGTGCACCTGCTTTTAAAATCTTTCTACTAAAAATGAAAAAAATCTTAGATCTGTAGGTAGTAATATAGTGGTATTAAATCTGTTAATAAAATAGTCACTGCCGTTAAAATTTGAAGAAAATACTCGTTACTTTCCTATGCTAAATGTGCACTGCACAGAAAGAAAAGGAGCGGGTTTGTCTTACAGAAACCAAGGACCATTCTTTATTATTATTCAGTGCTTTTTTTTTTTTTTGCTACAAAATTTTTTAAGAAAAGGAAGAACTTTCTTATTACTAAAATCCTTAAAATGATAAGTGCTTCAAGGAGATTAAAGTGTCAGGTATTCTGAAAAGGGAGAGAAAAGAAAGGAGGAAGAGATAATATAAATTCCCAGGCTCCCTGTGGAAAATGAAAACCAGTTGTTTTGTATCAGCAATGCCTAGGCTGTCGTATTTTAAAATCTGCTGTTGGGTCTGCATGTGTCTGAGAGGGCAGGTTTTGATATTTGTTGAAATGACAGGACTACGAAAGGCCTTAAACCTTGACCTTGACGAAAAAAGACAATTTGTGACCTTGACTTTTGACAGCCCATGAATTGGCCTCAGCTGGATTAGTAGATCAAGGGCGCCACCTCGCGTTGACAAGACTCCTTGTAATTCTTCAACTTCAAGGGAATCAAGAGCTCTTACCTCCTTGACTTGCTTTAGAGATTCAGTACTCATTTTTTTGGCTCCAGATGGAACCAATTTGAATATATGTAAATTATGCGTGTGCCTGTATATATGTAAATAGATATCTTATATGTGTATACATGTATACATTTGCATATTAATGCTTGTGTGTGCTTGTATATATATTTGTAGAATCTGTACAGATATCGTATCATTAATTGCTGATGACCCAAAATATTGTAATTTAAGGTGATTTGTAGAGTTGAGGTACAAAATGTACTTTGCTGATGAAGCTTTGCTCCTTTTCTTCAATGGCCAAGTTTGATTTGTCTTCACGTGGCTTGCTCTGCATCAGATTTCTGCAGATCTGCTTTAAAGCTGTACAATTTTGTTACAGTCTAAGAGGTGTTCTTAAATAACCATTCTTTCCTGGCCTTCGCCCTCCAAGGTGGTCTACCACCCTAATTAGGGCTATCAGGGAGTCTTTACAGCAAATAAAAAGTTTCAGATGCCTTGCTAACTCTAGAGCTCTAGAGTTACATTTTAGAAATTCAAAGAAACCCAGCTCTTGAGAAGTCAGTAAGGAGAACTTAAACATTTCATGTCTACAAAATGACCATACTCTAGATGCAGAAGGAGCATTATTCTGAATAGCTTGGAGCTGAGCGCTACTCCAAGGTGGTGTGCAATCTTATATTGATGCTTGTGAATCTGCCATTTGATTTGTGGGAGAAATAAATATGTTTAATATTAACAACCACCATCAAAATTATAATGATGATTTAACTACTGTTGACCCCCTAACAATACATCAGGTGCTGTATTCAGAGTCATAAAGAATACATATGTATGTTTATATATTTTAATGCCCATATAGGGTAATGTGTTTTTGTCACATCCGCTATGTATTAAAATGTTGGTGGAACCAGTAGCTTTGGGATGCAGAACTTTGAGATGCAGGTGAATCTTACCTTTCTGTTAGAGGAAAGTAATAGCAAATGGAAGAACCAGATTCATCATTTTATGGAAAATAATAGGTGTTAGTTACAAACCTGGCCTCCAGAAACCTCTCCGACCTCTCCTGAGGACTCAGAACTCCTTTATAGATGGGGAATTATGAAAAGAATCTCCAAAGTTGTCTCAAAAACAGCCTGGTATGGAAACACACATGTCGAATGGTCTTATGGAGTGCAATCATATGTTGCTGCCCTGAGGATTTTCACTCCACTTGTGGAAACACATGAAAATGCTGCTTCAGACCCACCTTCCCACCTCTTGTTCCACAGCACTCTGTTTCTAAATGAGCTGCCATCAAGCCAAAGTAACAACTTTCTCCCAAAATGTTTAAAGTGGTGGAAAATCCCCTCAAAGCTGGATCAAACTGTGTGTTTAAGAACAGCTCCAAAGGGGACTCTTCTGTTGACGGGGGATATTTTTCTTTAGATGTAAGAAATATTCTGAGCCTCAGGCCTAGGAAGGAGGCCAACAGCAGCTCTGCAGCCGGAATACCGCCCCTTTCGAAAGCCACCACCACTGCAGGAGCCCGGGGTAAAGTAGCAGCCTTCTTTTTTCTCTCTTCCAATTTTTGAAAGTGTAACGACAGAAGCTATTTCAGGGTTGTTATTGTTGTTTGTTGTTGTGTGTGTGTCTCACCCATTCTAAAATGGTTGTTGATAGTGTCAGTCTTACCTAACTGTCCTCGTATTTAAAATTTCCACAGATCTACCAGATAACCTGAGGTGGGCATGGATTTTTATCACTCCCTGATGCCCAAATAACAATTAGCCTAAAAACTTTATAAACAAAGATATCCCAGAGGATACCAGTCACCTCTGGAAAAATAGAAATAATAATGTCAGCCACTGTTCCATGGATAGTGTTGTTAAAAACCCAATTCAAGTATTTTTTTCCTAAAAAGGAAAAGTCATCCTGAATTTTAAAAAGTTTGTAAAGATGAGACTTAAAAAAAAAAAAAAAAACCTACTTTTTCCATCTGCTCTTCGTACCCTCATAGTTATTAAGTCTTTTTAAGTGGGTGATTGTAAAATGTCACTATGCATTTCACTACTATTTATGATTGATGCAGAGCTGAAGCCATCCATTAAAACTGGGTCCCCCCCCCCACACACACACAGAAAAGGAAAAAAAAAAGTTTTTAAAGAAGGAAAAGGGGGGAAACTCCTTAAAAATTCAACCTAATTGACATGTTTTCTTAGAAATTCACCTCGAGGCAGTGAAATTCAGCTGAGGGTGACATTTGTGTGCCGGTGGTTAACGACTCGGATTTTACTGCGTCGTCGGCATAGATGCGGACTGCAATCTGCTGCGATGTGCTTAGGGGTTTGGGTGAAGATGGTGGCTTCTGCCTGCCTCTGCGAATTTCCGAGTTCAGGAGCGGAGAAGGAGGTTGCCGGGGACAGCTCACCCCAGACCCGATGGGTTCGGAGGCACCCTTCTGGATTTGCGGACCTCTCCCGAGGACAAGCTAGGGGCTTGCTGATTTATGCGCATTCCTTTAAAACTTGATCGAATGCGTGTCAGCAGACCAAGACCTGGAGAATCAGAGAAATGTGTGGCGAGTCGCTCACATGCCATTTTTCATAAGCAAAGATGTGGCATTATCCAAAAGGCCCCGGGGAGATTTATGCCTAGGTTTTAGGACAGGCACGCTAATTAAGTTTTCATCTGCTAGGCCGCCGGGTATGTAACAGCCGGCCTCACTTTTTGTGGAAATACCCACTCGATCCTCGCGCACCTACCTAGCTCCGACGAATGGCTGGGAGGTGCTTGCTATTTTTAATTTTATTTTAAAGGGGAGGAAAAAGACTGGCGCAGAAAAGATTCCCCCGTGAGCGCAGACGAGGCCTTGGCACCGTTGATCTCATTCCTGCCTGGCCCTCGCGCCGCAGAAGAGCTGGATTCCCTGGGCAGGAATCATCACAACGGCGTCTCAGAGATCTCCCACGTTTCGCGAGTGGCCGTGCGGCCACGCCGGGCCTCCCCCCGGGCGCGGAGGTGTGGACGAGCGGGAGAGGGCGGCTGTGGACTCCGAGAGCGGCCCGATGTCGCGCCTCTCGGGCACAGAGGCGCGGCCCCAAATCCTCCTCGTAACCCCCCCTGCTCAAAATGGAGGAACAAACCCTCATGGAGCCGGCCTCCCTGGGAGGCTGGTACGCCACCCCGGGCGCGCGCGGCAGGATGGCAGGCGGAGGTCGAGGCAGCGGAACCTCGAGGGCCGGGGACGGTGCGGGTGAGTCGCCCCGCAGCTACAGCTGACGTCGCCGCAGGCCGGGCGAGCCTTCGAGGGCTCTCTGGGCGCTGTTTGATAAGGACCAGCCGACTCAAACGAATGTTTTGTGCGGGTGCTCCCTTCTCCGCCCCGCCCCTCCCTCCCCAAGAGAATAATCGGGTATTTAATCTCTCCCGGTCTTAATTCTTGGCAGAGTGGAAGGTGGTTTGCAACGGGAAATAAAACTTGACAGGAGCATTTTCTCTAAAAGGGGTTTTGAGACGGGCTGAAAAGAAACCGCGTTTTTCGCCACCAGATACTTCCGCTTTCTGAGCCCAGAGCCCAGCGATGGGATGAGATCCGAGGGCGCAGAGGGCGAGCCTGGCGCTCAGGGCCGCGCCGTGGCCCCGAACGACCAGATCCGGGCGCTCCGGGCCGCCGCGGCCTCCGCCAGGGCTGGGAGGCAGCCTCGGGCCTCGCTGCGCCCCGCGCCTCTGCCACGCTCCGCTCGGCTCGGCCGTGGGCTCCGGCGCCTCCCGCAGCCCGAGGCCGGGACCCCGCGCACGAGAACTTGGCCCCCGCCGGGGCCCGACTGGCGCTGGCGGAGGGCGGAGGGCGTCGGGCGAGAGAAGAGCGCTCTGGAGGGGGCTGCCGAACGCTTGTCTTTAGCCCTGAGCCTCCTGGCCTGGGGGATCGGGGACAGGCGCTCGCAACAAGGGTGATGAGAGCGGTGCTGGGGGCTTTGTTTACCGCCGCGGGGCTGCGGACACTGCACAAAATGGAGGGGGATGTGAAGGCGAGCGGCGCAGCATGCGTGGGTTGTCCAGCCTGCTATTGGGTAGAAGAGGCTGAAAGGAGTAGGCTCCCCCTCCCCGCGGCTCAGCGAGCGCCCTCCTCTCGCGCCGTAAAGGTCAAGTCCTCCGCGCCACGGCCGCCTCCATGGTCAGGGCCGGTCGCGGCCGCGGCCGCAGGAAGGCGGAGGACGCACAGTTGGCGGTACCGTCGCTCCTGCTGCAAGCGGGCCCTGATAGCCTGGGCTCCTGCACTGGAATCAAGGGTTCTTTCTCGATTTCCAAGTATCCCGACCCCAGGCCTGTTGGAAAGGAGCCCCGCAGTCAGGGTTGGCCCAAGTCATGTCCCGTTCTCAGAAGAGCGGGGTCGGCCCCAGCCCAGGAGAATTCGGAGCCCGCAGAGGCCTGGCCGGGGCAAGAAGGGAGTGCCT